GACAGAGGTAAAACTAAGATGCAGTGAAAGTGAACCCAAGGCCTCCAGGGTGGGCTGGGCAAACACAGGAGCAGAGAGGCCCCCGGGCTCAGGAAGTTATTGTCTGGACTGTGACGGTCATTAGAGACACTTCAGTCAGAACTCCTCAAACAGTTCACTTAAAATAGGCAGTTCTACATAATGGATATCATACCTCAATAAGGCTGCCTTAAAAGTCAGTTCCCAGAAAAGCATGACTACTCAGTGACCAAAAAATCAAAAGGGGCCAGAAGCAAAACTCTGGACCCCAGCTGCCTGGGGCCCTTGCCTCCCCACCAGGCTGTCCTGGACCACCCGCTCACTGTCTGATCAGAGGGACCTGGGACCTCCAGGAGGAAGGAAAATCCCAGACTTTTTTTGGCCTTGGAATGAGGCTGTAAGACGACTGAAAATTCACCCTCCCAATTACACGTGGTCTTAGCAACTACTAAAATTAATTCCAAGTTCCTTACCAGAAGGCAAATGATAACAAGAGGAGGTTGGCTTCGGAGGAGCAAGAAAAAATGGTTTCAAGCATCATCCGGAAGGCGGACTTCCTTTAAAAACCCAAATACACCCCACAGAGAAAGCTGAACCTCGGCTGTCCCCCCTGAGGTTCATGGGCCGGCGGGGTGTCCTCCCAGATGCTTGGCGTCTTCCGGTCCTCGGTGTTGTGTCCCTCCCACACCCACGCAGGCTCCCCGAGGGCAGGGACCCCGCCGCAGGGCCCGGTCCGGGGTGAAGGCATCAGGACCCCGCGGCCAGGGCTCACCCTCCACTCCGACCCCACCGTTCCCCCTGAACAATAACCTCACCCGTTTCACCAGCTCCTTTCAGGACGTGGTCACTTCCCTCCCATCCCCACCCCGCTGCCTCGCTCAGAAACCCCGAAAGAGGAAAGCCGCCTCTCTAGGAGCACCCCTAAACACCCCGAACTTACCAGAAGAGTATCCGCAGAATATTGGCCACCAGGAGCACCAGACACACGTAGGTGGAGAAGCCCTCAGCGTTCTGAGTCCTCCGGATGTCCCTGTACTGCGGGACGTACGGCACCACCCCTCCGAAGACGATGGCCCCGGCGGCCCCCCAGGCCACCAGCTGGTGCAGCGGCACCAGAAGCCAACCCAAGCCCTCCGCTTCCATCCCGGGCGCCTGCGTCGCCCCGCCAGCGGGCTGACGTCCACCGGGCGCGGGTCCCCCGGCCCCCACGGCCGCCGAGCGCGCTGGCTGTCACCCCCACATGGCGCCGCCCCCCGGAGCGGTCCCGGCAGGAGGAGGCGCGGAGCACAAGTCGCAAGGGGCCTCGGCAGCGCGAAGTCCACGCTCGGCCCAAGAGGCAGCGCGCCCCGGGCGCACGACCCTCCCGGGCACGCAGGCTGCCCGCGGGCGCAGAGAAGCCGCGGGGCGCAGTGCCGGGCTGGGGGCGCGCTCAGTCCGGGGAGCGGAGCGGGGAAGGAGGCGCGAGGGGGGCTCGGACCCGGGGCCCGCCCGCCCACGCGCTCGCCTCGCCACTGCCCAGCGCGTCCGTCCGCCCGCCCGCTGTCCCTCCGGCCGCCCGCGCCCGGGGCTCCGCCTCGGCGTGACGCGACAATGCCGGAGCCCCGCCCACCCAGGACGGCGGGCAGGCGCCGCCGGGTCCTAGAGCGCGCCGGCGCGGCGGGAGGGGGCGGGGCCGGGGGCGGGGCCGAGCGGGAAGTGCCTGCCGGACGCGGCCCGCCCTCAGGCCTGGCGCCCACGTGGGCAGCCTCACCTGTCCGTGCCAACCCCTAGGTCCTCCCCCGTTCGGCGCGCGGGAGCCGGTGTCCAGCACTCGGGACAGACCTCGGGCCTGCGAGGGCGCCAGACGGCGCCTGGACGCTGCTTCCTCCCAAGGGAGCTGCCTTCACCTCCCCCAGGTCTGGCCTGGCCTCCAGTTTCCTGCCTGGAGGTTGTGTGGGAAATCGTGAAAAGTTACAGCCTCCCTGAGACCAACTCCCAAACAAGCCTGTTGTGATCGGGAGGCCCTCCATAAAGCCCGAGCAGCTCTCACCCCCTGCCACACAGGAGGCTGATTTTGGGTATTTTTGCATCATGGCTATTGAGAGCATCCAGGAAAGGAACTGAGAACACGGCACCAGGCCTGTACAGCACAGAAAAGGAAGCCAGCGCGGGGTTGGGAGAGAATAGGCAGGTGGTCCTAGTCAGCCACATCCTCCTCCAGCTCAAAGCTTCTAGAATGTTGCATACTCTATTCTAGAGTGAGGCTCCAGGCACTCACTGGAGCATCTGCGGTCACAGCTGCTGGTCCTGTGTCACAGCTGCTGGTCCTGTTTATCCAGGCACATGTGAGCAGGTTACTGGGCAACCCACAGCCACCTGCTGTTCTGGCTTTGTCAGGGTGTGCCAGGTGGAGCATCTGCACCAGGGAGCGCCTCCTGAGTGCAGCTAAGTGGATACAGTCTTGCATTCTTGGCCCAGGACTTGGCCCCACAGAAGGCTCCAGTAAGGTGGGCTGGCGACTGCACAGTGGGCTTGTGATCCTTTCGAACACCACTGTCCAGAATCAGAGCGGCATCCCCTGATCCAGAACCATCAGTCAGTCAGGCAGAAGGGAGGCCCGCTCACCGGGATGCTGCAGGTCCCACGGCTTCCTGAGTTCCTGAAGAACACAGCCGATCTGTACTAGGCTGAAAAGTGCCCCCCAAAGGTGTCATGTCCTAACCCAGAAACTATGAATGTTAGTTTATTTTTAAAAAGTATTACAGATGTGATTAAGTTAAGGATCTTGAGGTGGGGATATTGTCCCATATTATCCAGGTGGGCCATAAATGCCATCACATGTATCTTTAAAAAGGAAGGCAGCAGGAGATTTGAGACACTCACAGAGAAGGCAGTATGAAGATGGAGCAGAGAGGTTTGATGTAGCCTTGAAGACTGGAGTGGCACAAGCCAACGGACGCCCGTAGCCTCCAGAGGCGGGAAGAGTCACAGAAGGGATTCTCCCTGTGGAAAGAGCTCGGCCTTGCCAACACCTTGATTGTGACCCAGTAAAACTGATTTTGTACTTGTGGCCTCCAGAAATGCAAGAGGATCAATTTCTGCTGTTTTAAGCCGCCCAGTCTGTGGAAGTGTGTCGTAGCAGTCACAGGAAACTAATACAGAAGCTGAAAATTAGTAACTAGCAAGATTATCAGACTGTGACCTGCAGAGCGGGCACAAAGCCACCAGTTTTGCCATCCTCTGTTGGTTAAAAGCAAGTCACCTGGTTCCACCCTCATGCAGGGTAGGGTGTCACATAAGTTTGAATGCCACTGGGAGCCATTTCAGAAGTTGCCTAACCACCAGTGCTTCTAAGTGAAAAGTAAACAGACTTTGGTCCTGGGCATTGGGACCTTAGCGGCCAACTGGAAGCTGCTGCGTACCTCACTAGGGGAACCTGTAAGAAGACGAGGTGGAGATCCTGCTCTTGGAACTTGGGTTGTAGAGTTCAGAAGCACAATACATCCAGCCTCAGCCCAAAGCACTCAGCAGCGGCCATTGCTGTCCACACAGCAAAGGAAAGTCGGCAAACCGCAGGGCAGCAGCTTCTCTGGGCCCATCAGAGAACTGAGGCTGTGAGACACACCACGCCCTGAAGTGGGATCAGATAGGCGCGCCCAGCGGGGCGTGTGCCCAAGGCCCCTCACCCAGCCTGGAACTGCGGATGCCTTCAACGGGCTTTAGAGGGAAAAGCAGGCAATGAGCAAGACCAGATGGATGATTTCCCAGGGAGATAGGAATATGAGTCAAAATAAAATGCTACAGAGAAACAACACACTAACAGAAATAAAGAATGCTTTCAACAGGCTCATCAGCTGACTCAGCAGAGTCAAGGAAAGAATCCATGAACTTCGACAAGTCAGTGGACATTTCCCAAGCTGAATGTAAGGAGAAAGGTTTTGGGTGGGGGTACCAGAAAAGAATATCCAAAAACGGTGAAGCGACATCAAAGTGTGTGTGAAGTAACATGTAATTGGGACACCAGGAGGGAAGAGATGAACTGGGCAGGAGGAATATCTGAATGTGAGAACTTTCCAAAATTAACCCAGACATCAAATGACCAATTCAGGACGCACCTCTTCTCAGACACCTGTGGGGTCAACTCTGCAAGGCTCTAGCTGGAATAGATAGGCTAATCGGGTCCTGAGCTCAGGAGACATGAAAATAGACATTCTTTGCACCCACTTCCCAGGTGAGGGCTACGGCTGGGTCCAGGAAGAAGGCCGCTGGTGCGTGTGTGGGGGACCATTGTCTGAGATGAACCTCCCTCCCTACTCCACCTCCCTCTACTGTCATGCGGAATATCACTCAGCTCTGTGCCACAAGCTTCAGTGGTTGCTCTGTTTACAATCCCTGGATTCTATCCTGGGTCTGCCTTCCGGGTCAGGATGAAATTCTCCGAAACAGCCGTGAGCACATCCCTCGATATGTGCTATGTGGCCCCTTGGGAACCTGGCAAGCCTATCATCTGTGGTGGAGGTGAGCTCAGCACCGGCACGGGTGCAGCCATATGGCTGATCTCTGGCCAATAAAGGTGGGTGGAGGTAATGTGTGTCACTTCCAAGCCTGACTTCCCAAGCCTGGTCTCCATCCCACCCACCTTGCTCACTGTCATCTGCTGGCCAGGTATATGCAAGGCAGTGGGGGAACTCCTCTGGGATGTGGCCCAGTTCCTGCTGAATAGCATCTGACCTTCCACTGACAACAGTGGGTAGAGTCCCACCCCTGCCTGGCAGCACTGGACTGGCATCAGTGAGACTTCACTGCACTCACCCACTGGAATTTGCCACTGTTCATCAGAAATGGGAATTGCTCCCTGTAACACACCATCCATTCTGAAATGCCCACAAAAGTAACTCCCCGAATGGTGTTCAACCATAATGTACACATAATGCCCACATCAGCCCATTTCTAACCTTCTAAACTGACACCTGTGTTGTTACCAAGGATAGCAGCCACGTGTGCTCCCCCGCTCGAGTTTCCACTCAACCTAACATGGGCCAGGCAGTGTTGACATTAATGGTAGCCTTCCATTAAGATCCTATATGTATTCATGGAAAGCACAGGCTATCTGTGATTGTCTGACATCTCACAAATCGTGGTTCTTAGGATGAACAACTGGGAGTTACACCAGACACAGCTCCAGCACATGTACCATGTCCCAAGCCTTGGGACAAGTCCCCTCATTTCATTCCCTTCTCTGGCCTCTACTGACCCCAGGAGAGGCCCCTGTATGTCTTCAGAGAAGGTCAGAGGTCAGAGAAATTACCACCTTCTCAGCTCTCCCTCTGCTTTTGAAGGGTCTTGAGCCTGGGGCCCACACTCCACCTTTGGGGCAGCAGTGTTCCCAAGCTTACAGAACATCGTCACCACTTTAGATTCTGAAGGAAAAATCACATGAGTAAAAGGATAACAAAATGAAGGAAATATTTCTAAAAACAGGAAAGAAGAAAGGTACAACCAGAGAGATTTCCTGTCCAGCTCCTATGCATGAGGCTGAGTGGCTGCCCCTGGTGAGAAGCTGCCAGGTGCTTGGCCAGTCCACACAGTGCCACCAGCCCGTGACAAGTGTTTCCCCTCCCCCCAAACAGCAGAGAGAGCACCACACGAAGTGCCCACTCCACCTGCCATGTAGTCAGGAGAAAGCAGAGACTCCCAGCTGCGTGAGCAAGGTACGGGTGGGCCCAGGTCTGGACAGCTGTACAGGACCTGCCCACGGGGCCCCCAAGTGGCAGAAACAAGCCCTTCATTTGCAGTGGGGGAGTAAGGTTGCAGAACATTCCAGAACTAGAGCTCCATCAATCAACCAAGAGAAGACAGAAAACAAGAGCACGCAGTCTGGTGGAGGAGGTGGGTGTGAATCTGATTCCAGGAGAGCCTGTGTCTCGCAGGGAGAGAGCTCCCGAGGTGCATGATTCTCCGCTGAGCCCCAGCCGTGCAGGGCTGCAGGCTCAGAACTCCAGCTGCCTGCTGGCGGGAATCAGCTGCTTTGACACTTTCCTTCTGGGAACTTTCTGAAAAGTGGTCATCAGTGACTGAACAGAGGTGTGTATGTTTTAAATTTCAGAGAAATACATGCAGGTCTTAAAATTTGTCAGAGGACAGTTTTATGCACCAAAAATAAAGAGGCCTAAGAAAACTTGAAATCTGAGTAGGGTCTGTAGTGTGGCTGACAGCCTTGTTTCTCTTTCTGGGTGTTGGTGACGCCTTTTGGTCATGTAAGATGTTACTGGGGGAGGCTGGGTGATGGACTCAGAAGTTTGTACAAAACAGGATACTCTGAAAATGAGGCATTTTGAAGAAACAAGCAAATGCTATGGAAAATCTGCCTGTAAGCTGAGGCCCAGAGGAGAGCGAGTCTAGGACCTGCTACCGGCGGGTGCTCTCCAGGCCGGGTGCACACGCGTGCACACGCATGGCCCCCTCAACTCCAGAAGTGCGCGCTTTCGCCTGTGAGCCTTCCTCTTTTTTTCACTGAGGCAAAATTCATGTAACACAAACGAGCCCCACAGAGTGAACAAGTCAGTGGCATTTGGTCATTCGCAATGTTGTGCAAACCTGGTTTCTATCTAGTTCCTGGACATTTTCATCCCCCCACAATAAAAACCTCACCTATAGGCAGTTTCTCCTCCACGCTCTCCCTCCAGCCCCTAGAAACCACCAATCTGAAATCTGTTTTATGGATCTACTTCTATGGACATTTCATGTAAGTGGCATCACACCACACATGGCCTTTTGTGTCTGCACTTCCATCGGCATCAAGGTAACACTGAACCTCCGGAAGCAGAGGTTGAGGACGTCCCCTCCCCTTGCTGCCACCACTGAACCCGGTGTGCCAGGCCACTCAGAATTCCATCGGATTCCCCTTCCTGGGTCAGCTATTTCTTAAATGATAAATGACAACGGCAAAAAGTACAATGTTTACATTTGCAAAACCATACAGTGAAAGGAAAACCAATTACACTAAAGAGAATTTTAAATGTAGAGTGCACATTAACTGCTGCCAAGTCGCCCAGAAACTTTCTTCTTGTCCTCAGCTTTCTGCCCTTCCTCTCTCCTGCCTCCCTCTCTCTCTCCCCACTCCCTCCCTCCCTGCCACCCGCCTCCCTGAAGCCTTTCCTCGGGCACCCCTGCCGGGGTGACCAGGGTGACATTGCAGAACCTGTGGACCCAAGATTGCCGACAGGGTGGCTCTGCTGTGTAGCCGGGTTTGAGAGTTACTGTTTCAAATTCACACCCAATACAGGAAGTCCTAGTGACTCAGGGTAATTGCTTCAGGAAAGGCCAGTTACTGTAACTGGGGCCAGAGATACCTAATAATTAATGGATTAGAAAATAGTTGACGATATTGCATTAAAAAATGAAAGCTAAACTTATGAAAATGTTCCAACTATTTTAGGGTTAAAAAAAGCAAAAAATTCTGTACTCAAATCTGTATACCCAAAAAGAACCCTTCTTTTCTTACAGAATTTGCAAACATGGAAGCAGACACTGTAGCACTTCACCGGCATCAGTAACTGTAAGAGAGCTCTTTTAATGCAGATAAGATAGAAATGGACAGGACAGTCTAAATGGCAGCATCTCTCCCTTTCTTGGCAGTAATGGTGCATCTTAAAATCAGCAACATCTTAGAGACAAAGCCTTAGAAGCGAAGCCATTCAAACAGAATGCGGCACGCTTCACGGCATGAAACTCCCTCTTACATTTGGTCATACTATGTGCTCACCTGTCAAAATTAAAGTTTTAGTTTTCCAGTTTAAAGTTCGTTTCATATTTAGATTCCGCCCTTACGGTCTGTGTCTTTGATTCCATGTTCCTGTACTTCTTACTCAAGTTTTCTCCCCCGATCTACATATCGTTGCAACAGTGAAACACCGCCTGATTTCTGTAGCCGCACAGCACATTTTAATATTCTCAGATTGTAGATTATTACCAAGGTAGTAGCATCAATTTTTGTCCCTGAACCTAGTTCCTTAAATGTAGTATTCTTAACAAAATGTCTTTCTGTTGAGTGATTCTCTCACCCTCATATACTAATGAATTTGTCCCCCAATGCAGGACTAAGTAGGTAGGTAGAAAACCATCCAGGTGCTGGTGTAGAATGACAGGTCTATTTTTCCAGTAGAAATTAGGTTCTCAGGGTCATCACAGAGCTTCCGAGTAGGTTCCCATTGGGCCAGAGAGATTACAGTTGTGAAAGATAGAAATGTATTAAAAATTACAAAGGGGGAAAGAAAGAAAATCATGGGTTTCCTAGGTCCTAGAATTCCTAGCCTAGGGTTTGAAGCTGGGAAGATAAACTTTAAAAAATTATTATGGTACAATATCCATAACATCAGGTTTACCATTTCAATCACTTCAAGTGTACAGTTCAGTGGCATTAAGCACATTCATACTGTTGTGTAGCCATCATCACCATCTGTCTGCAGAATGCGTTCGTCTTCCCTAACTGAAACTCTATACCCATTACACAATAATTCCATATTTTTCCTTCCTCCAGCCCCTGGCCCCCACCATTCTACTTTGTATTGTTATGAATTTGAATATTCTATAAGTGGAATGATACAATATGGATCCCTTATATGACAGGCTTATTTCACTGAGAGCCATGTCTCCAAGGTTCATCTAGGAAGCTGTTTGATTCCACGGTGGAAGCACCGGAGCTCAGCAGAGGAGGGGCCCGCCCTGGGCCCTGGAAGCGTTCGGGCATGTGCTCCACAAAGCAGAGAAGGGGCTGAGGCTCCACAGTGACTGGGCACCAGCACCCAGCACCTCCCACCTGCAGAGACCAGAGCATTTGCCAAAGAACCTGGCAGGGCTTCAGCTGGCTGGTCTTTGAGATGACCCCACTGATATTTTCCCTTTATGAATCTGTGTAAGGAGCTGTGGTCATGAAACCCATGTGTGTTTCTGCTAGAAACACCACTGGCTTTGATCCGTCACCCCTCTGGCCAAGTGGGCTTTTCCTGCGTCCTCAGGGGCCACCTTCCTGGGGGCAGGCTGCCTACCCCAGGCCGTCTCTGGTTGGCTGGTGTCTTGTGTGCACCAGACTCCGCTGGGAGAGAATGCAGGGGCCACGGCCTGCGGCTGGCCTTTCCTCCCAGACCCCCTGCCTCGGCTGCTTCCTCCTCCTCCTTCTGCCAAATGTCCTTGCTTTCTTCAGAGAGAAACCAGAAGCCCTCAGACAAGATTTCTCAAAGGAGCCCCCGCTGGGGAGCAGCGGGAATCCCAGTGCTTGGTCACAGCTGGTCTTCCGTCTGAGTGGGAATGACCCTCCTCCCACTGCTGGCCATGCAGTGCCACATGGTCACGTGATGTCACACAGTGCTTCCTCCTTCTCAGCCCCTCTCTGAGGGAAAAAAGAGGCAGATGCTAAAAAGACATGAAAAGTGGCAAAATGGCCATGCTTCCAAAAGTTATTATTGTAACAGCTTTTTCTGCGATATTTCACTACTGTAAAATACACCCACTTAAAGTGTTTAATTCAATGATTTCTAGTGGGACCATCACCATCATCAATTTGGGAATATTTTTGTCCCCACAGAAAAAAGCCCTAAATATTTAGCAGTAGCAGCCACCAGGCTCCTTTGTGGATTCACCAATTTTGGATGCTTCATATAAATGGAATTCTACACTGTATGGCCTTTTGTGACCGCTTCTCTTGCGTAGCATGATGTTCCCGAGGTCAAGCATGTTGCGGCGCATGTCAGCGCTTCATCCCCTCTTACAGCTGGGTACTATTCCATGGGGTGGCTGGACCACATTTGGTTTGTCCATCCATCCATTTGTGGACACTTGGGTTGCTTCCACCCTTTGACTACTGTTAATAATGATGCTGTAAACCTTGTTTTCCTGTGGACACGTGTTGTATTTCCCTTGGTACGTACCCAGAGGTGGAACTGAGGTTACAGGGTGACTTGATGTTTCCTGGGCACACGCATCTGGGCACGACACTGGGTGAGGGCCCCAGCCTTACCACATCCTTGTCAACACCTGTAACTGTCTTTTGATTCTAGCCATGGGTGTCAAAGGTGGTCTCACTGTGGTTTTAATTTGAGTCTCCTGATGACCAACGACCTTGGACATCTTTGCCTGTGTCTCTGGGTTGATGCACATACACAACCTGGGGATCCATATGCTCTTGCTCTGCTAGGCCTCTGGGACACTGGCGTGACCCAGACAGACACAACCTGTCCCACTGAGCATCAGGCCCAGGGCAGTACAGACACTAAACCAAACAGGTTTTTGCTATAATAGGGTCCTGGGGCGTCACCCATGCAGTGACCCACTAGCCACAATGCAGACAGGCCCAAGTCCGCGGAGAGGAAGGGCGCGGGTGGCCGGCCGGGCAGGGCGAGAGGTCCGGGGCGCGGTGCTGCTTTGGGAGACAGAGTTGCCGAAGGCTGGGGAGGCGGCCCGGGCGCGGCCAGGACTGTCATCCCCGCGGAGGGGCGCCTCGTCGCCCGGTCCCGGAAAGCGCAACCTCCGAGGCCACGTCCCGCCACGGAAGCGCAGCCAGCCAGGGGTGCCCGCGGCGAGCTGAAGGCGGCCGGAGCCCGCACGGCCCAGCTCCCGGCGCCGCGCCTCCCGGCCCGGGCCAGGCGCGCGTCTTGGCCCCGGCACGTCCCCTGCGCAGCCTGCCGGCCTCGCGGCGGGACCCCCGGGGTGACGGCGGGGCGCACTCCTGGAGACGCTCGGGACCCGGCCGGTCCACCGCGCCCGCCCGGGGTCGCCTCTCCCGGGGCCCGCATGGACGCCCAGGCGCGCGAAGGCCCCCGCGGGCGCGCTCTGCGGGATGCGGTGAGTAGGGCCCTCGTCCCGCCCCCTCCCGGGTTGTGCGCCCTCCCCACCGGGTCCCGGCTGAAGGTCGGGACGTGGGGGCGCTCCGGGCGGCTGCGAGGCCGGGAAGGGGCGCTCTGCCGGCGCGACCACCTCCCCATCCCAGGGCCACTCGGAGAACATGCCCGGCCGCTCCAGGTGTGCCAGCCGCTCCGTCCCCCCTCGCCCCCCCTCCCCCTGCCCCCCGCCCCGTCCCCACCCCCTTTCCGAGCTGGTTCCCGCGTCGGAGTCCGGACAATTAGTCACCAGGAGGCAACATTTAAAGGCTGATTAATTTGCCTACTAGCAGGAAGTCGCCAGGTGTGGTGCGAACTGGCCCACATTCCGAGGTGAGCCCTTGGTGACCGGCTGCCCCAGGACGCACCTGCACCTGCGTGGCCTGGGCCTCGCCCATGCCGAGCAGGCGGCGCGGATTCCATCAGGAGGGGTGCACAGCCCGTGGGCGAGCTGGGAAGCAGTGTCTAAATGGGGCGTGCCACCAGAGACTGAAATTCCCGCTTACAAACCCGATCCAGGTGTGGGGCAGGCGAGATGCCCCGGGTGCTGGGTGGGCTCTACTTAGGAGTTCTCTGAGGAGCCCAAGGTCATGGCGACTTTCTCCCGCGTCACTTCTACACTTGTGAGTTCCAGCGCTTGCACTTAGGTGTATGATCAAGTTTTGTGTATGGTGTGAAGTAAGGGTCGGGCCTCTTATTTAGTCTGACATTTGGCTATGTCATTGTTCCTGCACTATTTGTTGAAAAGATTTTTACCGTTTCAATCAAAGGCCTTGGCACCTAGTCAAAAACCAACTAACTACACATGTGGATGGTTGTATTCCATGGTGCTTAAAATGCCCTACATCAGGAGTAAATATATTCAACTGTTTTATGGTTCATTTTCTCAGGCAGAAAATATATTTCAGGAACTTCAAGAACATTTTCAAGCTCTGACTGCAACATTAAACCTCAGGAATATCCTTTTCTATATTATAACAAATACTGTAACACTTTTGGACTGATAAGTTATCATGGAATATCTTTGTGTTGTCTGCTATTAGTAAGAAGTTGTTGATCTAGGATTTACTGGTGTTACATCGGTGTTTACTTGGCATCAGGATGTATTAATTACAACTCAGAATAATTGCTTCCTGCTTGACCAGCAATACAAGGTTTTTGTACAGCAAGGATTAAATTCAAGGACACGGTATGCAATACTACCCAATGGGGCTTTTTCACCAAGCCATAAATAAATCTAGATAGTCTGTTCAATGACATTTACACTTTACCAAGCAGTCAGAAACCTATAAACAGAATATGTAAGGTTTCCAACACTGGGGACTACATGTGGCTCTGCCTACCTCTATTTTGTTTTGTTTTATAACTTAAGCAGCCATTGTTTTGTTAACATGAATCCAAGCAGAATGATAAATGCTTGTCTTCTTTCTGAGCGAATCCAAATGAGGATAACATCTGCCCTGGGACTGACCCAACCTGTGCTCACTTTACACGATTAAATTCCTTCCTTAAAATTTGTGTGGAAAGTATTTGTATATGGACCATGTACTTGGTAACTTTTTATTCTGTAGATGGGCTCCCACAGGGAGAAAAAGATTCTTAAACATGATAAAATTAAACTGTAGGAATGTTGGTTTTAAATAGTTAATTTCTACTATATTTACACACTCATTTGAGTTTAGTTAAAGCTGTTAAACATACCAACCTCATATCCCTGAATCTGCGTCCATGAAAGGGGATCCAAGTTTTCAGAACTGAGTTCATAGTTCAAAGGTTAAAGACACTACAAAAACCTTAGGAAAGTACTTGGTTCGCAGTGACCTTAAGGTGCTAGCATCTGCAGGCTTTCATGCCTCCTTTCAAAGTTGCCCTGCTTGGTGCGGTGACGCCATGTGCAATTTGAAGCAGGGTCTTTTCCCAGCTTTCTGGCTGGGTGCTCTGTGCCCCGTGTGTAACCCTTGACATTGCACTGGAGGAGATGGGAAGTCGTATTGAGGACTTGCAAAAGAATGTGAACGACTTAATGGTGCAGGCTGGGATTGAAACTTCTGCTAATGAGCAAATGGTAAGGCCATTATTAGGAAACTAAATGTGTTTACCTTTTGCCAGTCTTTTGGTTGTTTTATCTTGAAAAATACAATCCCATATTTGTTCACTAAGAAAATTACTGCCTCTGTACTACATGAAAACCTTCTAGAATAATAAAAGACATTTTATATAAAAGACATTTATAATAAAGGATGCTCTTTTCTAAATAGACCAACTGGAGCACTCTGCCATAATTCCTTAAAAAGTGAACATTTTAAATGAAAAACTGTTATGTAAAAACTGGACTTCATTCAAGTACTTTTCACCTCCACCCCTCAAATTAGTCTTATATCAAAATATAAATCACTGTGAATAGGGGACTGGTGATTATAACTAGTAGTTTCTGTTTGAGACAATACATTCATGTAACCATTTAAAGAAGGCATGTGTTCACCAAGCCCCAACCCATTTCACAGCAGTTCCTGACCACCAGACTAGGCCCTCACAACGCAAAGAATTCTATTCCAGTGGAATTTTGTACTTAATCTTGAAGATGCAAATATATGCTTAACTTTGGTTCTCAGACTGGATTTATGTTCATGTGACATATATGGAGATACTTTAACATATTCAGATACTTGTGCATATTTTACTGACATAATATTCTGATTATATGGGCATATTTTGATTGTACAAAAGATGCCTTTGTTTTCCTATTTCTTTGACAATCCTTATCGTATGTGAGCTGGCAGATTATCCTGCTAAATCAGAGCTGGTTCACCTACCAATGACCTATACATATCTACATCTGGTATCCTGGTAAAAAAGATAAACCTGTAACCTGTGTCCTGCACATGAACTGCAAAATGTTGGGGAAGGTACTCTAAATCTGTCAGTAGGGTGAAAAGTATAGCTTTACCTATTAAGATTGTATCAGACAGGTCCACCTTCTCTAAAGCCTCAGTTCTCTCTGAGCCTCCTCTCCACCCCAGAAAGGGTTGCTTTGGTAGTAGGCCAAGTACCTGAGGGCAAGAACCACTTGGGCCAGTTTCTGGAGGAACCCAGCCCCAGAGCTTGGCACGCTGCCAGGCATGGGATGCTGGGCCAGCAACTCAGTTCTCTCCCTTCATCACTCAGACCCCAGCTGGCTGTTTTAAATTTGGCCAAAATCCATTTTGGTGCACATACAACCATTACTTAAGGCAGCATCTTGAAGTCTGTTTCAAAGCTGTTGATGTCTTCTAAATTAAAGGATGTAACTAAGTTTAAATCTGGATAAATCTGTGCTTGTTGGTTGTGCTAGGTCAGGGATTCCTAAGAGGGCTTGTGCTGTGGATTTCAGGGGATTCTACAAAACCCCTCAACTTGTGATCCTCTTGTGGGAAAGGGTGAGTGGGAGGAGAGCCCGTGACCCCAAAATGTTAAAAACTACCACTCTATTCTACTGGATTCGGTGCTTTGACAGTCTCCCCATTAAACTACATCAGCAGCACTTCCCCATGTCACCTAAATGCATACGGTTCGGTGCTGCCCTCCTGGACGCCTGAGGTGTCAGAGCGATGGACTGATACAGAAGTGATGTTTCAACCTTTGAGGAGTCCATACTGTTTATTCACCTGTAATGTGAATTTACATCAACTCCATCTGACTAGAATGAAAAGCATTTAACATTTATGTTTTTCTGTATACTGAATTGTTCCTGTACAAAATGTTTCTGTGATTACAGGAAGTTATGGTAATTTTATTGACAGCTCAGGGCTCCAGTTCATTTAGCTGTATGTTAACTGGCAAATTAACCAAGCTTTGCTTCTTTCACACTTTTTTCTTGCAGACCTGAAGGCAGTGGACCAGTCACCCAAGAGTGGTAAAAATGAAAACTGCACTTTTGAGTAATACACGACTATTTAAGTTAAAATTTCATCTTAGTAAAATAAGATTAACAGAGCAATGGCAATGCAGTAAGGATGTAAATTCAGGTGATTAACTCCTTACAAAGATGGCTGTAAAATGGCAAAATTTCCCAGTGAATACCTAACATTTGTAAATCTTGAAAAAAAGTATAAGCTCTATTATGTCACATTTTTGTTCTGAATTGTTCTGTATAGGTCTTTTTTGGAAAAGATCACAAGCACTTTTCTGAGAGAAGTTGCTTCTTAAATAACTGTACCCCAACTCAGCATTTCTGGTCCCAGTTTTTGGGGGGACTCATTTTCATCTTTCCAGCCAAAACAGATTCTGATAGGATGTTCTCCAAACCAAACCAGAGCAAGAAAACCAGTGACCCAGGAGCTCTGCATTCACCCCTGGCTGGCCTCATGCCCACCACTCTCCCAGACGCAGTTACCAAGGAGCACAAAGATCATACTTACCGTTACCCTGTAGATTATAGAGAATGTGTGTTCTATATACAAATACTTGTCCAGTTCACCTCTCTGAGCCAAAGTAAAATAGAGCTGTGATCACCTAAAAAGGGGTCTCTCATTATAAAAAATATTATTCCTGTGTATAAATCATATTCTTTATACAAGTTAAAAATCACTCAAAATTCTACAATTTAGAATTTGGTCAACATTTTTCTGTGCAATTTTATATATATACAAAATATGTATATATGTGATATTATTTATAATCTAATATCCTGTTCTCTTTTCATAAAACATTCCCCTATGAAAATTTTGTGCCCACTTTTAATGGCTAGTCTATCATATGGCCATAAGAATTTAATCATCTTTTCCTTTAATATTCCTTGGACTTTTCCCTCTTTCTTGCTATTATAAATAACGCTATAATGAGTACTGTCATCCTGAACTCTGGTCACACTTCATTAGGGTCAGAAGGATGACTAAAGCCAAATACATCTCAAAAAGTCCTTTTATTCTCCCAACAGTGATGCATGTCTTGTGCAATCCAGCTTTAAATGGCATAATTTAAGTTCAATATTCTTGGTTATTTAAAATCACAAAAGTTCCATGTGATTATGTGAAAAATCTCAAAGCATCTTAGCTGTGCTTGTAATTTTAGCAGAAACTAGAGTGGATATTTGAAGTAAACTAGATTTGAGTCCTCATCAATAATACAGAACAGTTTAAAATCCAGGATTTCAAAGAAATTGAGTAGAAAAGAAAGACTTATTAGTCAAAAAATACTTCTAAAGAAATCTCCAAGCTGCCCCCCTTTTATAGACTGACATTTAACATCTCAACTATTCAGTCAAACCACAGACGTCTACCTTTAAAGAGAATATTTGGCATTTTTTAGTATCATACCTGTTTCAGTGTCTTCCTAACACTTATGTAAATGACTGCTATATCCCAGCACTCTGTTACATATATTTAAAAGAAAGACTGTTTTCATTCTGATGTTTCAGAATGTTTAGAGGGAAAGTAAGATGCATTTACATGTGTCTATACACTTATTCTATGTTAGACTAGGTAATACAAAACTTTAGTAGAAAGCAGTTTATTCATAAGTAAAATGGAGTTAATTCAATATTAAATCATATGCCTGAAATTTAAAACTCAACACAAGTTCTGAAATTTATGAAAACATAAAGCTTACTAATAAAGGGCTGAATTTGTAAGGCTTTAAATTCTGTTAACATTCTTTCTTTATAACCACCGTCTCTTGTGTGATCTGTACCCCCCAAACTACCAATTCACGCCAGGAGTCCTACCCCTCAGTACCTCACAGTATGCCCTGACCTGGACAGGGGCTGCTGCAGATGCAGTGAGTTAAGGTGCGGGCGTGCTGGAGTGGGCGGCCCTCAGCCAGTGATGGCATCCTTATGAAAGAGCTGAATTGGACACGCATGCAGGATGATGCCACGTGAAGACAAAGGCTGGAAATGGGCACGCATCAACAAGCCAACAACTGTCAGGCACCACCAGACACTAGGAGAAGGGTGGGACAGATGCTCTGTTAGAGCCCCAGAGGAAGCAGCTGGGCTTCCGGACGTCAGATGTGTGAAACACATGCTGTTAAGTCACCCAGGTGTGGTACTTTGTGAAAGCAGCTCCAGACAACTGTACAAATTCCCACTGCCATGTGTGCAAAGTGTGCCAGTCCCACAGCACACACACCTGAATGCCAAGGTAAAGATGAGAAATAATTTCCCACTACCAAAATCAGTAATATGTACATCAAGTTTCTTAAGAAGTAAACAATTACAAGTGTTCCCATCACTATGTACTTTATTTATCAGTTGGGTATTTACAGATGTTTGTATATATAAAAGTACAGAGGCCAGGCGGTCCTTACTGCACAGACCTGCCAGCTGCCTGCATGTTGTGGGCTCTGCCCGGAGCTTTCTTTAAGGCTTGAAATAGCTCATCCTATTTCCATACACAGAGGACCTGCAGCTGGAGGAGGGCTCAGTATCTGTACTTGGTGGAGTAGTCCTTGGGGGACACGACCAGGCCACGGCCCTTCCGGGCGCCCCGATACACAGTCTCGATTATGTCGATCATCTCCTGCTTGTCCTCCATGGCCCAGTTGATCTTATTGTTGTTGCCAGTACCCAGGTCAATCATGATGTGCTTGTTCCTGCAAGAGGAAAGAAAATAGGCCGACACTCACGAAAACCCTCCTCAAAGAGGATTCTATTAAATAAAACCTTAGGTGTCCCGTGGTGGCAAGCTCTCCAACATTGTTTAAGACAAAGAGGATACACAATTTAGGAGAAGACCAGATGCCACCTAAACACTCTTTTAAAAGCACAATGCGCTTTCCACCAAGCTCTTCTCGTGTGATTCTGTATTTTCTTAGGACAAATAACCTACAGGGCAACTGAAGGGTCAAAGGGCAGATTTAATCACTCAGAAAGTCAAATTGTTTCCAGAGGGTTGTACTAATTTACCTGAAAACAGCAACGTACAAGCTCTTCATGGTGCTCTCGTGAGCTCTTGGTGCAATTTTTATTAGAAGCCCGACTAGTTGTGAAATGAATGTGGTATTTTGCATTTCTGTGATCAGGAAAGCAGATGGTTTTTTACCAATTTATCTTTTAAGAAGCTACTTCTAAAAATTAATTTACATGTGAATTTTATAAAGATATTAACCTGCTGCACTAAATTTTCCTGATGTGTTGAAGACTGACTTTTATTAATTTAACTTTGCACTTCTACAAGATCACACATTTGGCTTCAACCCACTGTTCCACGAAGCACCCCACCCTGCAGTCTCTGGTTTGGCCTCCTTTCTTCCAGAGTGCATGTCCAAAAGGTAAATGTGGTGCTCCCCTCCTGCCAGGATAACATCCCAAGGGCCAGAAACCTGGGGTTTGACCCTGCCCGCTCTTCCCTGACATACAGCAGAGTCCCATCGTGACCTGTCAGCCTCTCCACATTCTTGCAGGTCCCCAGACATGGCGTGTGTTGGGGCCTTTGGGTCAGCCCTTCTGGGAAGCAAGGCTCCTCTAAGCTCACCGCACTGGCCTGAAGCACTTGCAGCCGCCCTATGGGGGTACACATACCACCCTCTGGCATCTCGTTGCCCTTTGCTAATTCACTGGGCTGCTCATCAGCAGGAGCTCTGTGACAGCAGGAAGCCTGCCTCACCTGACTGAATGTCCTAGCACTAGACTGAAAAGCCCAGCAGGACTTGATACTGCTGGCGAGTAAGTCAGCATTAGTACCGATGCTGGTCTCCCTCCTGGAGTTCTGCATCTGTCCTAAGGACACATCCACATGTGCGCTCTGCCCCGGCACTGCCTGCCTTCTCTCTGCAACCTTCTTCCCGGCCGCATGTCCCACTCCACGGCTGGCCACAAGCTGGGGAAGCAGGGCCCACGGCAGCCCACAAGAATCCCACCTGAGGTCTGTGGAGCAATACTGAGGAGCATGACAGAAAACACCTGGGTTGTCTCAACAGCCTGTTAGTAGAAATATGGACTTTAAGATGCTGCTCAGAAGTGGGGAACCGGACTCAACCAATAACCCGAGCAAGCTTTGTGGATTCTTCCCTAATGGACTGCCCAGGTAAGAGCCCACTTACTCCCTCCCACTGGCCTCATGAGAGCCTGAGAGAAAACCCACCAAACCTGCCTGGACTTTGACCTTCAGAACCTTGAGCCCTTGGATGGTGGTTTTCTGCCACTGACAGAATGTGAAACCAACACACACCTTACCCAATGCACCCAGGCCCTCCTCAACGACTAGGGAGTCGCTCCACTCATCATGTGTGGCCCAAGGCTTACACTGCTATTTACAGACTTCTGTATTAAAAATAAACAATGCATTCTGACAAGTAGAAACAATGTCAAACGGTGATTTTTTTTCCTAATTAAATTTCCGTAACAGAACTTTTTTAAAACTCACATTACTTAACTTTTTTACATCAATACGATGAAATATACTTGTTATCTGCATCAGACACCTGTGTACCTAACCAGGCGCCATTCCCATGTGTTCCTTTGATGCAAAGTCCATAAAGCATGTATACAAATTAATCCCAAACAAGTAGGGAAATTCTATTCCTCATGCCAGTAACTGACTGACTAGGGTCCAAACTGACTATTTTAGCTGATAAAATAACCTTGTACATAAAAGCAAAAAATTCAGTACAGATTTTCCTCTTGGGTTTCACAAAAGGACACTAAGTCATTGAGATCATATTTTAAAATGAGTTATTGTAAAACAGGCATTTTTCATTAACAAATTATATTTAAAGGTTTAAATGCCAGTAAGAATGTCTTCCATTTAGTTATATTTCATCTAGGTTTCTGGGCAAAGTTATTTCAAAAGGGTAATTTGTTACTGAGTAAAGGCTAGAACTGGAATTGTTACTCTGAAAATTACTTAAAAGGCCACATGGCTATGTGCTACTGAGCTGCCTCTACATAAAAGAATCGAAAGATATCTTGATTACATTAAGCTTCCACATCAGCAATACTCAGTATAAATAACAACTGTAAGAGTACACACCTGAAGAAAAACATGACAGTGCATGGGTCGTACAACTCATACATCTTGTTGAAGTCAGGCACCTCTGTAATGTCCACAAGATAAATAACTGCAAAATTTTTAACCTAAAAGTAAGAAAGATTGAAAAAGAACAGATAACTTAAAATAACAAATCAAAAATTTTTATTTTATAAAAACTACATTAAAAACAAAACAAGGATTTATGCGTAACAGGACAATCTTCAAATCAACTGCCACAGGACAATAATTCAACATGAAAAGGATCCTGAATGATTGGCCATTTACAACTCACTTTAACATTTTTCAGAATAGCAAGTTCCAATCCTGCAGAAAATGTCCACAGATACATTATGCAAGCTCACCTGGCAATAATCTCTATGAACTTTTCTGAATTTGTATTTTTATAAATACTTAATTACATGCCTTAAACCACTGTTTTAGAACATGCCTTTAGGACTCAGTCATACATTCCCCCCACTTATTTAGGTTTGAACACTTGCAAATACTACGACTATTACCCCAAATAACATTGTAAATAGTAAGTCTTCTTAACCTTTTCTTTAGCTGCAGTTCATCAGATTTAGAAAACCCAGGGAATTATAAAATTAAATCATCTCTAATCTCAACACCCAGAATTAACAACTGCAAATATATTTTTAGTATTCTTTTCTATTTTCTAGTATATCATAAAAAATTTTCCCAAATCTACTATGTTAGTTTTAATAGTGTGATCATATTGTACTTATACCACAGTATTTTACATCCTGCTTTAATTAGAAGCATTCACTTATGTAAATTATATACTTTCCAAAACCATAATTTTTACGGCTATGTAACAGTTCGTCAAATGGCTATGCCATTATTTTACCTTTATTCTGTCATTTTTTGTGATTTTTCAAGAACACCGGTAATTCAGATTTTTGACTAATATCAATCATTCACCTGTGAACATTCTTACCCATTAAATTTATGTACACACTTCATTACTTCTTAAGGATAAATTCCAAAAATAGAATCTCTAGAACAAAGGACATGACATTTTAAAGGCTCCTTAATAAAGACAATATTGCCTCAATGCTCTCTAGAAAGTTTATGCTAACTCATATGTTACAGGTTCAACTGTCCCCCAATACACTGAGGTCCTAGCCCCCGGGACTCAGACTGTAGCCTTGTTTGGAAACAGGGTCCTTGCAGATGTAATGAGTTAGGAAGGTGAGGCCAGACTGCAGCTGGGTGGGCCCCTTAGCCGATTTGACGGGTGTCCTTATATGGAAATGGCCAGGCGAAGACACAGACGTGGGAGCAGCCCTTGGAAAGCAGGGGCTGCATGATGTCTCTGTGAGCCATGGAGCACCAAGGATCCTGCCCACGACACCACAAGCTGGAAGCACCGAGGAGGGAGTGCGACCCTGCTTCCGCCCCCACTGGACTGGGTCTCGGGACGGGGGCCCAGCGTTCCTTCCGCTTCACTCCAACCTGTCTGTAGTGCTTTGTCAGAGGGGCCCTAGGAAATGCAGACATGCACACTTCTTCACATGAAACTAAGTCTAAAACTCTGTGATTTAACAGGTGAAATAACATGGTATCTGGGATTTGCTTTAAGTACTGCAGCATAAGAAATGTTAGCAGAAGACACAAAACTGACAGGATGTTGGTAATTAGGGAAGCTGAACGACAGGTACAGAGGAGCTCACTAGACGCTCCTCTCTAGTTTTGGGAATATGAAAAGTATTTACTATGGAAATTTAAACCACCACCACCAGAGGAAGGAAGAAAGAAATTTACACTAACTGAGGACCCCCCTATTCCAGCTTGGGTCAGGAGGACACAAAGCTCAAGCCCTTGGCGCTGTGAATATGGCTCCCACCGTGCGCCCCACCGCCCAACCGCTTCTACGAAGCCCCACTGCCAAGCCTTCAGAAGCCACCACCCAACCCCTCTTGGTCTGGCTCATTCTGCCAACACACTTCTGAAACTCTGGTTTCCTGAAGCACCCATGGTGAGAACGTGCTGGTCATGTCTCTCGAACCAGTCTTATTTTCATGGTAAACTAATAAAGTGTATTCTGGTTTTATTAGAAAAAAAAACTGCACCACACGTTAAAACTATATGTATATACATATATAAGCAGAAACATCAGTACATATATGTATATATACATAAAGTGGTGTGTGTATACATATATACACAAACATACACACACACCCAAATATATATAGTGGTCAGTACATTTATGTAAACTGCTCTCTATGTAAAATGGTCAGGCGGTAGGAAACCAGGTCACCCTGACTCACTTTAATTCTTTCAATGCCTCGCCCAGGGACAGACATACAAAATAAATAACAGTAACAATGATTACATATCAATTTATGGAATCATCATGTAAATATTCAATTATTTGAAAAATCTAATTGACAGGGTTATTAATCATGTACTTTAGAAAAAAGTAAAATCACAATAAATCATCCATTTTTATGTTGAGTATTAAATAATATAACCCCTTATATTTGTGGACATTTATTAATCAAGAGACGAATGTAACTTGTTCAGCTACATCTCCTTTTGTCTTCAAGCTCTGCCTGGTCCGTCCGGCTCCCAGTCCGACTGGGACAGAGGCGGAGCATCGCTTCAAGCTCCCCCATCTCAAGAACTTGAACACGCTGCTCTTTCACACAGACTAACTTCATGAACATTTAAGGGTCCGCTCTGTGCAAGGCTCTTCTCACTCATTACTTCTAATTATTTCAACACCCGAAACAGAGATATTAACATTTTGTCTGGGCCTAAACTGAGGCTCAGAAAGATGAAGTGACTCCAAGCCACACGAGCAGGCAAGAAGCAAAGCTGGGACTCGTCAAGTCTGGCCCAACCTCTGGATGAGATTTCCTACCCAAGACCGAAAGAACCAGCCTGCCGAGGGGGGCGTGAGGCCGTGGGAGTTTGGGAGTCGGTCAGGCGGAGAGGCTGCCCGTGTCACATGGAGACCCTACAGAGCACTGCAGGGGCCGAGGCAGCGTCTGGATGAGGAGGGTCCAGGAGGTGAGCCTGCAAAGGCATTAACAAGTCCAGTTTCCTTAATTATTTACAGGGAAGTAGGGCTTAAAGAGTTGAGCTCTGTACACACTGCCTGGAGAAAGCTCAGAAGCTTCCTGTGAAAGGATCCTGCAGGCAGTGACTGGAGTGGCTCTGGGCCGGAACCCCTGCCACCAGCATCTGACCGGGGCCAAGACAAGCCCTGCACAGCTGTGGGCAGGGAAGGGCTGCCTGAGAGATACATTCAGACAGGAGGGAGCTGGGCTGGGAGCCCGACAGGTCCAGTCGGATGCAGGTCTGCTCAATGGAAGGCTTTCCATACAGACGAGTCTTCCAGGAGCTTGGCTCTGAACGAGGGAAGTGGACTTAGGCCTTAAGGTGGAGAAGACAAAGCCTCTCTCCCAGCCACCCCACTCTCCTCCTCCCAGGGAAAGAAGAGAAGGCGTCTGTGCAACGGAGAAAAGAGGGTAAAGGAATGGGAGAAAAGCAAATGTTCAAACAGCCCCTGTTGAAGTGTTATTTTCAGGGCCACAGTGGCCACACAGACGACAGGATCATGGGAGGAGCATCAAAGGCTCCCCTACGGAGCGGATTCCTGGAGAAAGTCACCCTGCTGGATTTCGAGGCTCTGCCTTCATCTAAATTTCACTAAGCAGAGACACTTCCCTGTATTACTTCCCACGTAACAAAGATTATAATTTAAAATGCCAAATATTACCATTACAGTGTAACACACACACACACAGCTGTCTCCCAAAGCATCAACTGCCAGTCCAACGAAAGCCCAAGACACCTCTCAGATGCGGTGCGAATTATTTAGCCAATTGGTCCTAGTCCTAGAACTTCCAGATCTTACAAGGTCGGAAACTGACATGAGAAACCATACCGTCTTAAAAAAGGTTAAAATACATCTCATCTCTTTGTATACGAGGACACTGAGCCATCCCAACGGTGATGTCATGTAATTTTGACCCTGTAAATGCTGGTTTTTATAGTGAGACTGAAAACAGGCCTTCTTTCCCGTTGCCTTCAGTTATGAGTGAGACAACTGCAGCTCATTCACAAGTAAAATAAGCCATGACATGACACCAAGTGCTGGAGTTTTTTTCTCCTCTACATAAACTACATTCAGGTTCTTCAGGTAAATATGAAGCCTCACAAGACCATAAGCACCATGTCTATTGGGAGACTGTGTGTGTGTGTGTGTGTGTGTGTGTGTGTGTGTCTGTATGTGTGTGTCTGTGTCTGTGTGTGTCTGTGTGTGTCTGTGTTGTCTGAGTGGCCGTGGTGGGGAAGTGCACTAGAGCAAAGAGCAAAGCAGGATGTATGTGGCTTCCTCACAAGTGAGCGTGTGGGTCTTTCTTCATGTGGCCTCAGAGCCAAACAGAACCTGGCACATTCAAGGCACTCATCAACATTATTGAGTGAATGATCTTAACAATGAACTTACATTTCCAAACTCAAGAAACACATTACTGTCACTGAAAATGTGTTTCTGGACAGTGTGGACTCGACTACACGACCGAGTCCAGGCAGGCCTGCTGTACGAGGTGGTGCGGCCCAGCTTCTTCCCGAGCCTCGCCGCACAGGAGCGCCTCCAGCTGGGTGAGGACCAGCTACAGGGCACCACTGGCCTTCCTCTGACTGCGGACGCTCCCGGTTCCTCTCCTCTGGATAAGTTCCCATACGTCAAAGCTTCCCAGCCCGGGATACTTGGATTCCACTGTGATGCCTTCCACATGGTTTGGACTATTTCCCCTCAACATTTCATGTCCACTGATGGATCTACAGGTAATTAAAACTCGTGTGTTTTATATATAAAACTGAAATTAAGCTAGTTCTCTATTACCTTTCCTCCATTTAAAAAATGTTCCTTTTGAAAAAATGGGGTATCCAAACAGGGCTTGTAACAAGATGAGGAAGATCCTCTGTTATCTGCCATTTCTGCAGAGGGGCATGTGTCCTCTTGGTTCCTATGGGATTCCTTGTTTGAGCAATAACTTCTGCTGGTTCTTACGTGATGCATAAGAACGATCCCCTGAAATTGTTCCATAAATGTACTTGCCTTATATACTATTTTATTGAAATGTATGATCATGCATATCTGTACAAGTTTTTTTAACACACAAAAATTAAACCTCCCATTTATTCTTTGTTACTATCACTCTACCAAACTCCAGACATCTGTAAATCTTTAAACATATCTCTGTGTTTTTAGTACAGCTCAAAACTAATCCAGCATGGAGGGCTCTGTGGAATCATCAACTCAATGTGCCACATTCCAGGAGAAATGGTCTGATTAAGTCCAGCCTCAACCCTGGGGCTTTTACTCACTTTAAAACAGCTGGAGTATCCAAACAGGGCTTGTAACAAGATGAGGAAGATCCCCTGCTATCTGCCATTTCTGCAGAGGGAGATTTTTAAATAGAGAGTTAAATTGTTCTTCATACTAAAACCTTAAATTTCAGAAATTCCTGTTGAGCTTCCCCCAAAAGGGCTTCCAGAATTATAAACTAATATCTGCCCTTATAATAAGTAAAACATTAACAGTTTTGTAAAGCACTTCAAATTTACATTTTGAATAACTACTCTATAGTATTCAAAGTTTATTAAAATAGAAATCCAAATTTTTGGGCAAAAGAAAAGAGTAACTTAAAAAATAAAAAATACTCAAAGTGAGCCCAGTTGAACTGTTCTCATCAGTAGGTTCAATACCAAGAAGAGTGTGTCCATTGGTGAGGCAACGATTCAGTCTACAACTGACATGAAAGGATTAGAAAGGAACAGCTCTGGCAAAAGTCCCTAAAATCTTACATTAACACAGAAACTCTGTCTCCTAGCTCAGAGCTTCTTGCCGAGTTTTGCTCACACACTAAGGGCTGAATGACCCTCATGTGTCTTCTCAGCCTAGCCCCGGGCAGCACGTGGTGTGTGTACCCCCACCTGCAAGGTAGGATCTAGGACACATACCCGAAGTTATTCCCAAGTCAGCACAGCAAGAGCCTACTTGTTGGAGAAGCGCTCTTAGTCGAGTCTTCCTGAATTCAGTATGTCTGCCTCTGACCTCCATAGCTTAAGCAATGCATAAATAACTCCCCACGACCACCATGCTCATGACCTCTGACCCATATGGGGTCAGGTGGAAGGAACCAGTGGGAGAGAACTGCTGCTCTCCTGAGTTCCCCAGCCTCCTCAAGTTCTTCAGTGCCCAGATGAGGAGATGGCCAATCAGCACAGCCCTCCTACCTACTCTGCCCAGACCTCCGACGATGGGTTTCTTAATGTTATATCCAATTCTCAGGGGAGCTTCTTAAAAGAGCAGTTTCTGGACCTCACCTCAGATGTGTAGAATCAGAATCTCTGAGATGCCCTGTGCATCTTCCAAGTGATACTTACGACAAGTGATACAGACCAGTCCTGCACATTCACACTGCCACGCCCCTCCTCACTCTCCCACCAGATGGGAGACAGTAAGACAGCATTTTCTCCCCTAAATACAAAACACAGCCTCACATCGTTACTAACTCAAGGCCGTTATTTTAGCCCAGCCTGTGTCAGTATCACCCCCGTTAAGAAAAGATGGCTAAATGATTCTTTTATTTTTACTCTTTATTTAAATAAATGACCTATTAGTGGAATACTAATAAATTAAATGTTCTATTAACTCTAATATTTGCCTTTTGCTCTATTCCTATGACTGCAAAAATCCAAGTCAAAATTCGCTTAAAATCACCACGAGGAAATTTTAGAGACAGAACCAAGTCCTGGTCACATCCCATGCCCTGCAACTGCACTGCTTTTGCCTGCGAACAGGTGCAACAGACAACCCGGTACACTGACATTAAAAAGAAAACTAGCCCTAACAGAGCACAGTTCTGTTTTCTCCTAATGTTTCATGAACTGGAATCACTCTGAGTTATAAATCAAGTGACTTACAAAGAGTATGGTGGGGTAAAGAAAAGCAAAACAAAAACGAAAGAAAAAGAACAGGGCTTAAATGTTCTGCTTTATAAATATAATAAATAAACATGGTTCCAAAAGAAGAACAATCCTTTTAAACTAAGATATTTAAGTTAAGCTCCAACGTCCTTACCAAAGCATGCGAACTTGTTTTGTTCATGGCACCGTGAATGAAAATTTCGAAAAGCACCATACCAATAGGAATTACTGACTTACGGAAAAGAATCATGAACCCCTTTCAAACTTGAAAATCCGTAAACTTCTCCCAGAAAAAGACACAAGCGTTTCTGCACAATTTCAGGATGCACAACCACCATCACGAGACAAGACCGTTGCCCTATATCCATCCTGCTCCTGCCTATTTTGTGCAGGTCAGAAACTACCGCAGGAAGAACGGACATCTGCAAATCAAAAGGAGTCGCGGTACCTTTTCCGCTATGCTGTACAGAACCTCGTCCATCTTCATGCACGTGGGGTCCCAGTCGTGTCCGAACCGAATGACCACCACGCGGTCTTCCTCCGACAGGATAGCCTGGTCCACCTGCCAGCCGTTGTGCAGGTGCGGGAGCATGTACGACATGGCGGGCTCGAGGCTCTGCGGGGCGAGGCGGCTCCAGCCTGCGGCTCGCGGCCCGGGGACTCCGCGCAGCCCCCGCTCAACCCCCGCCCGCCAGGGTCCCCTCCCCGCCCCAGGGCACCACGATCCCCGCTCACCTGCGCCCGCACCGGGCCTCCAGCACAGAGATCCTTACGGGCGTGGACGCAGCCGGCTTGAACGTGCGCGGCCGCGCTGCGTGGGCGGAAGTGACGCGCACACTGCGCGCCGCGTGCACGGAAGTGATCAAGCGTGTGCCCGCGGCGCGTGCGTGGAGCTGCAGGTTGTCGGTCTCCGTGACGCCGCGGCACTGAGCGCCGCCTTCCGGGGGTGTCGTTGCTCCCGCCCCGGGCGTCGCGAGACGAGCGGCGTGGGCTGCGGTGCCGCCGCGGTGGGGCTGCAGTGGGAAGGGCGCCGTGCCCGGGGGAGGGGCAGGGGGCTGCCCAGGCGGGGACCGGCGGCGGGGCCGTCCCGATGCCCGAATCGCACGCAGAGGGGACCGCTGTCCTGGCTTGGGGGGGTGGAGAGACTCGGACTCCCACATATATTAGAACTAGTACTTTATTATTTTAATTTTGCTATTATTAATGTACAATTACATGAGCAATATTATGGTTACTACACACCCCCTATTAAGTCCCCGCCACATACCCATTACAGTCACTGTCCATCAGGGTAGTAAGATGCTATAGAATTACAACATGTCTTCTCTGTTGTACTGCCCTCCCCGTATCCCACCGTCCCCCACCCCACTACATTATGTATGCTAATGGTAATAGACCTTTTTCCCCCTTATCCCTCCCTTCCCACCCAACTTCCCCAGTTCCTTTCCTTTTGGTAACTGTTAGTCCATTCTTGGATTCTGTGAGTCTGCCGCTGTTTTGTTCCTTCAGTTTTTTCTTTGCTCTTATGCTCCACAGATCAGTGAAATCATATGATACTTGTTTTTCTCCGCCTGGCTTATTTCACTGAGCATAATACCCTCTAGCTCCATCCATGTTGTTGCAAATGGTAGGATTTGTTTTCTTCTTATGGCTGAATGATATTCCATTGTGTATATGTACCACATCTTCTTTATCCATTCATCTACTGATGGACACTTAGGTTGCTTCCATTTCTTGGTTTTTCAAAATGGGCTGCTGCATTCTTAGGGTAAATTCCTAGGAGTGGAATTCCTGGGTCAAATGGTATTTCTATTTTGAATTTTTTGAGGAACCTCCATAGTGCTTTCCTCAATGGTTGAACTAGTCTACATTCCCACCAGCAGTGTAGGAGGGTTCCCCTTTCTCCACAACCTCACCAACATTTGCTGTTGTCTGTCTTTTGGATGTTGGCCATCCTGACTAGTGTGAGGTGATATCTCATTGTAGTTTTAATTTGCATTTCTCTGATGATTAGTGATGTGGAGCATCTGTTCATGTGCCTGTTGGCCATCTGAATTTCTTCTTTGGAGAAGTGTCTGGTCAGATCCTCTGTCCATTTTTTAATTGGATCATTTGCTTTTTGTTTGTTGAGGTGTGTGAGCTCTTTATATAATTTGGATGTCAACCCCTTACCGGATATGTCATTTATGAATACATTCTCCCATACTGTAGGATGTCTTTTTGTTCTACTGATGGTGTCCTTTGGTGTACAGAAGCTTTTCAGTTTGATATAGTCCCACTTGTTCATTTTTACTTTTGTTTTCCTTGCCTGGGGAGATACATTCATGAAGAAATTGCTCAGATTTATGTCCAAGAGATTTTTGCTTATGTTTTTTTCTAAGGGTTTAATGGTTTCATGACTTACATTCAGGTCTTTGATCCATTTTGAATTGACTTTTGTGTATGGGCTTAGACAATAATCCAGGTTCATTCTTACATGTAGCTGTCCAGTTTTGCCAACACCTGCTATTGAAGAGGCTGTCATTTCCCCATTGTATATCCATGACTCCTTTATCATATATTAATTGACCATATATGCTTGAGTTTACATCTGGGCTCTCTAGTCTGTTCCATTGGTCTGTTCTTGTGCCAGTACCAAATTGTCTTGATTAATGTAGCTCTGTAGTAGAGCTTCAAGTGAGGGAGTGTAATTCCCCCCACTGTATTCTTCCTTCTCAGAATTGCTTTGGCTATTTGGGGTCTTTTGTGGTTCCATATGAATTTTAGAACTATTTGCTTTAGTTCATTGAAGAATGCTCTTGGTATTTTAATAGGGATTGCATTGAATCTGTAGATTGCTTTAGGCAGGATGGCTATTTTGACAATATTAATTCTTCCTATCCATGGGCACGGGATGTGTTTCCATTTATCAGTATCTTATTTAATTTCTCTCATGAGTGTCTTGTAGTTTTCAGAGTATAAGTCTTTCACTTCCTTGGTTATTTTTATTCCTATGTATTTTATTCTTTTGGATGCAATTGTGAATGGAATTGTTTTCCTGATTTCTCTTTCTGCTAGTTCATCGTTAGTGTATAGGAATGCAGCAGATTTCCATGTATTAATTTTGTATCCTACAACTTTGCTGAATTCAGATATTAGATCTAGTAGTTTTGGAGTGGATTCTTTAGGGTTTTTATGTACAGTATCATGCCATCTGAAAACAGGGACAGTTTAACTTCTTCCTTGCCAATCTGGATCCTTCCTAGAACTAGTACTTTTTTTTTTTTTGGCCTGAAATTTTTTTTTCTTTATTAAGGTGTCACTGATACACAATCTTCTGCTCAGGTTTCACATGAGCAACATTGAAGCAAAACTATTATCAAGTTTTGCTTCCCCACTATTATCAAGTCCCCAGCACATACCCCATTACAGCCACTGTCCACAGTATAGTAAGGTGCTATAGAGTAACTTCTTGTCTTCTCCGTGCTGTACTGCCTTCCCCATGCCTCCCTCCCCCCATATTATGTGTGATAACCATAATCCCCCTTAATCCCCTTTGGCCTGAACATTTCCACTTTTTAGCTTGTATTGAAGTTTTTCTTGTGGATGAGTAAATGTTAATTTTTACAGATGTTCCATGCACATTTGGAAAGTGTGTATTCTATGTCATAGACACAGTTTTTGAACTGTATGTGAAATCAAATTTGTAAATATATTATTCAGATTATTTGTAACTTTTCTTTTTTGGCTACTTGATTTAACTTACTTTTACTGCTTTGCTGTTGGATATGCCAGCAGCTTCTTACATAACTTTACTGTGACTTGAATATTTTACCCCTTTTTGTCCCACTAAATCTTTTGCTGTGAATTCTGTTTGATGTTAGTATTACCCCTGGTACTATATTTTGTTTGTATTTTCTAGATAAACAGTTTTCTCATCTCTTCTCATGCTGAGCCTTTGAGATGTTTTCTTATGAACAATAACTTGGTGAATATGTACTTTTGCCCAAGTCTATCTCTTTACAGAGAAATGAAGTACATTTATGTTTACTATGGTATTTGTGTTTTATGTGTTTGGTCCATGTTGCTTTTTGGAGGTAGGTTGGGGTAAAGTTTCCTTCTTTCCTTTTTTTCCTCTTCTGTTTTGCTATGTTGATTGAGTTTTCTGTATTCCTCTCCCCTCCTCCTCAAGATTTGTAAGTTCTGCTCCTTAATTCTTTTTTCCCAGAAATCATAATTAGGTATTATAATATCTAAGGCACAACTCTTAAAATGCATGATTGTCATATAGGTGCCATAATTTAGTTATGTTTAGAATCCTACCATCATGATCCTTTAGTTCTGTAAAGGTTGCCCCACAATATTTGACATTTGGTGTTGGTTTAATCACATTCTCTTTTGCAAAAACCTTTTCTTTTCTGACTTGGAAATTCTTGGGAAATTATTTTGACTTTATTTTTTTCTTTCAATGCACAACTTTTTGTTCTTTTTTTCCATCCAAGCTTTGGGAAAATCTTGGAAAGTGTTCTTATTCGCAAATTGTGTTTTTTTGAAGTCTCATTTACTATGCATTTCCTCTGTTGATTTTTAAATTTAGGAATTAGGCTTTTTCAGACACCCCTTTTACATGGAAGCCTGCTGTTGTTATTGACAATAAAATGTATTTGCCTAGCTTTTTATTTTTTAATTTTTTTATTTTTATTTTGTTATCATTAATCTACAATTACATGAAGAACATTATGTTTACTAGGCTCCCCCCTTCACCAAGTCCCCCCACAAACCCTATTACAGTCACTGTCCATCAGCATAGTAAGATGCTGTAGAATCACTACTTGTCTTCTCTGTGTTGTACAGCCCTCCCTGTGCCCTTCCCCCAATATTGTACATGCTGATCATAATGCCCCCTTTCTTTTTCCCCACCCTTATCCCTCCCTTCCCACCCACCCTCCCCAGTCCCTTTCCCTTTGGTAACTGTCAGTCCATTCTTGGGTTCTGTGATTCTGCTGCTGTTTTGTTCCTTCAGTTTTAGAACTAGTACTTTTAAACATTCTTTCATTGTGGTAAAATCTGTATGATGTAAAAGTTAGCATTCTAACCCTGTTTAAATGAGCAATTCAGTGACATTAAGTACATTCACATCATTGTGCAACCATCAGCTCTGTCCATCTACAGATGTGTCCTGTGTTAAGTCCTGTTGAGATGTTCACATAGTGAGGTAGGGCAGCGACGTGGGACAAGCATCATGACTAACTTTTCCCGCCTATGATGAAAAATGCCGATATGAACAGTATAGGAAGAACAGGAGGAACCCTCTCTTTAGGCTAAGATTCCATTTTAGAAAGCGGAGAGTTGGAAAGATCCCTAACATATTCTTTGGTAATCAGACAACAACCCAACAGCCTATCGTAGGGCAGGGCAGGCAGTCCTAACTGGTATGTCCCCACTGCTTGAGGGTGACCACTATCTTGGAGAAAAATGGGATAAATAAATCCCTTGTGCTGGGTTCATTTAGCAGAATTAGCTGGAGGACTGATAACAGAGGAGACGTGGTGTCTCACCAGAGATAATTATCTTGTGACCACATGAGAAGCCTACACCCACCCAACAACCTCCTCTCCGCCCTTTACCCCCTTCTTGAAAGCATTAAAAGACAGAATCCCCAACCTTGCAGTGAGCCTCCTTTCTGAGGATGCCCACACTTTTTCTTTAAGTGTGTACTTTCAAATAAAGCTTTCTCATTGCTCAAATTATTGAGGTTTGTCTTCTTGCTTTTTTCATCTTCCTTCCAAGTCTCCACTCTGTCTCCACTTTACTCCTAATAAGTAGGAAGGGGTTGCTAAGAGCTCAGATTTGTACCTGCATGTTTTGTCGCCT